GTGATTCACTGAGGCATATGCTGATGGCGTTTCATTTTTTCCCACACATAAATCCAGTGGGTTTTTTATACCCTTTCGACTGTCCCGACAGCCCGACAGCCCGTGAGTACGGGGATTTGACAACCCAGCCCAGGCACTTTTTCCTTATCCTGGCTAAGCGATGACAGCGATCCATGGACTTGTAGGATATTCCGTCTTCACTGCATTTGACACTTTGAAATGGAATCGGGCTGTGTTTTGGGTTGGGAAGGTACCTTCTGCCGGCCAGCCCAATGCACTTGTCTTTGGTTTGCTTTTGGCCTTGCCTTTAGTTTTGATTTTCCACTTGATCGAGTGCAAACTTCGGTTGGTAAACGCCCCTTCCCAGAATTCCCCTGCTCACTCAGGTGTGTTATCAAATTATAAACAATTTCACCGTGAGTATGCATTGTTAATGTGACTGAATTGTTCACCTTAATTAGGTTGCAGCCATAACAGCTCCCCACTGGCCGCCTTCGTCCTGCAGAATGTGCCCTAGATTAATTTCCTGTTGGAGGGGAAGCGTTTTCCACGTTTTCCACGAACGGTGTCTTGAAATCGCTGTGCATTTACTGTAAATTGCAATGCATAAATGTATAAATACGCCGAGCCAAGGCATCCATTATAAAATCCAGTTTGAGGAACGTGCCACAAGAACGCTCCATCCCCACCATTTCCACTTCCTTTCGCACAGCCAGGTTGCCAGGCTGTAGTAAGCCAAGTGGGCATTTGTCTCAAAAGTTAAAATTGCTTTTAATATAATGCGATTTCTGTTTGCTTGGGCATGATTCGCATTCCTGGAATGCCTCGCCGCTTGGTTGGCAAGCATTTAATGGTCATTAAGTGCCTTCAAACGTGTCCCAACTCAGAGCTTGTTGAGACAATTTTGTACAATAAAATTTCAATAAAGCTGGGAAAAAGGGCCCTCAAAGCGGTTGGCAGAAGGCAAGAGGAAAAAAAAAGGGAAAATCCGTTGGACCATAAAATCAGCACAAACCCAAACACACATCCTCATCGAGAGAGATGATTATCATGGTGGGGAAGACAACAAACATGGTCCAGCACTTTAATCAAATGAGACCGCAGCTTCAAGAGGCTGTTCACCCACAAGTATCTGTGTGCCATGCAGTGTGTGTGTGCTAAAATTTCAATGAAGCCATTGGCGGCCAAGAGGCCCAGAAGTGCTGCCCGGAAAAAGAGCAGAAACTATTAAAGTAAGTGGAAATGGAGGCATTAAGGCGGAAACAGGAACTCACACATAGGTCTGGGTTCTGTTATGTTCTGCATTGAAAAGGGAACCGTTGTCAGGCCAAGTGGAAGCTTTGAACCTTTTATGTGCTTTTAATTTTAATACAAAAAAGCAGGCAAAAAACAAAACAATTTTCCAGGCATTCAGTTTTGCCATTTTGCCATTTTGCCACTTTGGGTGCCATACATACATACATGTACATATAGGTGGCACCCGTTTTCCGTGTGCATTTTCAATTTGCGCTTTGCATACGGATTGCAATTCACGCCAGCTGTCAGCATTCTCAGGGATAAACCTGTGCGTACCACAGTGCGTATGAGCGATGCGAAAGTAACCAAGAAAGTGGGTGGCCCCACTACAGCAGCCTCAGCAAATTGCTGGTTCTTGAAGGTGTCAGCTGCAACATCTACGATAGATGTACTAAGCCTAAAGTAAGAACAAAGCCAGGCCCACAGGCATTCAGTTTATCAATTAAATGAGTCACATATAATTAATAGCCTCCCAGACAAGCAGCCTCTCGGGGTCCTTTGTCCATAACAAATGGCTACGAATGCGGTGGGATTAATAAACCACACACTCCGAGAGCCTGACTTTAATATCAACTCGATCGGGGCAAAACACACAGAGAAATGCAAACTATGGTAAATGCCATCGCACTTCAGGCATCCGGTCTAGACTTCATTATGATATAGTGTGCGCCTGAGTCCTGAATCCTGAGCCCTGAGTCCCGAGGCCTGTGTCCCCGAGGAGCTACGCAGCTGGCCCTACTTAAGATACAATAAAAAAGCCGGCATACCTACGGGGGCATCTGCATGGCTCTGTGTGTGCGCGTGTGTTTATCCCCCATTCGCAGTTTGACAGCAAAAACGTTTAATCTAGCATAAACATATGGAACATAAGCATTTACATGCGACTGTATACATACATTAAGGGATGAAGGCGACAGGTGAGTATTACGGCCCCATCTTCGGGGAATGGAACTCTTCCCCCTAACAACAGCTTTAAGAAGCCAAACTCAACTTGGCTTTAAGGCGAAATTAATTATGCAATCTTGGTGGGGGCTAAACAAACAGTTGCGGCTTTCGATTACCAAGAACTCTCATATTCGTGCATAAAAAACAGGAATACATAAACCTTTTTGCCGACTTTTGTTGACCTTTCATCGGAGCAGAAATGATGCAGAATGAATTTCATGAAAGTGAGATGTATGGGTAGGAAATATGAGTCCAAATTAAAGTGCTGATTTCAGCTACTGAAATGTCATTCCTAGAATACTAAGCTGGGGCTTTTGGTGTTGTTTTGTCTGTAAAAAGGACCCGGACTTACCAAATTTAATTCAGAATTTGTTTAATTTTCGGGAAAAAGAAAAAAAACCAGAAAGGATTCCGATTTTTAAAAAACTCATAATCACAGATATAATGTAAGAGTTTTTTTTACTAGCGTATATGTTTTCACGAAAACGAAATAGAACGATATTTGTATTATTTGGGCATTCATTTTCTGACTCTTCCTATGACAGCTATATTATATAGGAGTCCGATTTTTATTAAATTTAATTAGTTATTCTGAAATATTAAAAAAATAATGCAGTAGAAAAGAATATAATCAAAAAACGAAGCTATATTTATTTTCCTATTATGTTTCTGTTTATTATCCGATCGTTCCTATAATAGCTATAAGATATAGTCGTCCGATCCTTAAAATCGAATTCGAAATTCTGAAATATTAAAGAAACTATAGTCCTGAGTGTATAAGATAATTTATTTATAAACACTGAAGCTTTTATTTTTAAATTTTTTGTGTTATTATTTTACAGATTAGCAATAGGACATAGTTTTGCATTAAAAAAAGACTTTTGGGAACGTTTCATCCCCTTAGCTTTGAAACTGACAGACTAGACTAGTCAGACCCGTCTAGTGATGCTGATCAAGAATATATATGCTTTATGGGGTCGGAAAGGTATTTTCTTTCTTGAATACCGCTGCAAAGGCATAAAAACAGAATAACAGAACAATAACTTTTGATACTTTATGAAGAACATTAAAGTCTTTATCATATTTATTTTCTAAATTTTTTTATTTTTTAGTATTGTTTTAATTACTCCAAATAAACAAATAAATATAATATTTCACGTTGTTAAAAAAAAAAAGTGGATTAAAAAATATCAGTCTCAAACAATTATTAATAATCATTATTGCTATCACTATTTCTGAAAAATATTTTCTTTCACTTACAAATAATGACTATTTACTAGTAAGTATAATACAACTAAAAACAAAAAATTACTTTTCCTAAAATATAGAGTAAAACCAATGACTTTCACATGAAGTATGTTTCGTAAGAAACATGTACGCAAATTAAAGTGCCACTTTAAGGGACATTGGGCATTCCCAGAAATACTAAGCTCGAACTTATAGTGTGCTTCATCGGAAATATGTCTCTCTTATATTTGGGAAATGCTGCAGAATGCAATGGCATTTTCTGTTACAAAATAGTTTGACGAGTAATAACACTATAAATCATGCTGTTCGAAGTGTTAGAACCAAAGATATTGCACTTCATAGCTAACCGCCTCTGGGAACCAAAGTAGAGAACTGGAAGATTTAAACGCGATTATCTCGGAACAGTGTTTTCCCAAGAACATTTTGGGGTGGACAAGATTCCGGGAAAACTTTCAGGCCGATTTGCACTATTTTTGCCATTTGCGCTGTAATCAACGTTTCCCAAATTCCCAGGAATCTAAAAATTTCTAGTCGTAAAGATGCTTATATACCCTTAGCACACCTTGATTTCAAAAATTCTATTAATTTTTTTTTATACATATGAATGGTAAGGCAACAGTGGTTACACGATTAAATACCCCACACCCTGGAAAGATATGGCTTAGAACGGCAAAAAATCCCCTTTCAGCAATGGACTCCATTAATAACCAAAGTATCGAAATGGAACAGCATAAAAGTAAAGTCCGCATGAAGCAGTTTTCAGATGGGATGAAAAAACCATGGTAAAATCCGATTATGGACCCACAAAACCAGTGCAAAAATGGATTGAGTATTGCCATTGGGTGCCGTTTCCACCTTCTATTTATTTGACAAATTTAGAATTTATTGTGGACCCAAACCAGAGGGGGATTCGCTAGGGTTTCCTAGGGGATCCGTGCAGCCCACATCGCACCAGTGCTTTCAGCCATGTGCGAGCTGTGTAAGCGTAATAAAAATGCACAACATGACACAGCTCATCCTCCTTCGTCCGGGACACACAAAAGGCAGATCTAAAGGCAACTTAGAGCTTACTTAGACATGTTAACTGCTGCGAGGACTCTTTGTCTCTACACCTAAAAAAAAATAGGGGCAGGAGGAGGTCGCAGCGAAACTTGCGGCAGCTACAAATTTAATACGCTTACGATAAATTTTTATTATGCCAGCGAATGCTGCCGTTAAAATTGGATATCGAAGAACCCACCTAGGGATGGAGAAGGAGGTTTCGGTATCGGTTTCGGTAGGATGGCATGCGAAAAATTTGAATTTTCCGCCATAATCGTAACTTGTCCCCCGTTGGCAGGCACTTTTAAGTCTTTACTTCTGCCCTTGCACTCAGTACGTGCTTTGTTTTTCTGGCCCTGTTTACGCCTTAATGTGGCCATAAAGTGCAGGAGCTGGTGGCCCCAGGATGGACGCATTCCGCATGCCGGACTTAACCGCCAGTTTTTAGTGGGTCAGCTGGACAGGCTTACCTGGCGTATACTTAATCACTCCGTTTGGTAACTGCAAGTCGGCACGTGAGATTGATTAAATTTCTGATTTATGTTCTGGGGAATCACCCGCACACAGAAAAGGCCACAGACACTCGGAAACACCGACCGAACGAAGCAAAAATAACCGTCGCTCTTGACACTTCTTTCAGAGTTATGATCCGCCGTTTAAAAGGCTTCGATTTCCGTTTTCCGTTAAGGAACGCGTGCGTTGCTATCAAGCTGGGAACTGTTTGGCCAACAGCATGGAAAGTGGCTTTTATAGAACCAACGGCCCTCGAGTGTTTGCCGCCAAAGCATTCAAAACACAACGTGTTGCAGGTTGTGGTTGCGACCAAAACAAACCTTCCAAGGATTCAGCACGCAGGCGTCGGCAGGACCAAACTGAAGTCCTTGCTGCCATTAGCTGGGATCTGAACCAGAGCTTTTGTAAACAAGGATACCCCTCGAACCTGCTGGAAAGGTTGTAAGCTCACCCCTCCGGCATTGTCAACTGCGGTCAGTTGGTAATAATTCGTCTGACAGTTCAATTTTGGACAGACGCCTCCAAGAATGTTTTGTGTTATTTGGAATTGGCATCTAATTATTGGTCATATGTCTTGGGGAGAAACTTTAGTTTACCAAAAATCAGCTTAGTTTCTTTGCAACCAACAATGGCCATAAAGATTCAAATCCCTGTCACATTGAAAACCCTCTTTCCTCCCGAGGAGTAAGCACTAAAAGACCAATTGTTTGGACACGCACCTCAAATGGGAATTAAATCTGATGAGTGCCAAAGAGCATTTCATGCCAGACAGAGATTCTCATTTAGATGCCTGAGGAAGCCTCTGCAAATATTGACATACAAATGTTAATTATCCACAGAGCACCATGGCATACAGTGGCTGCCAAAAGGCAAACGAGCACCTGCGGCGGCCAACAGGGCGTATGCTCGATAATTGTCGGCCGTGCCGAGTTTACTCAACATTCTTGAGGCGGTTCAGCTCGTTAATATTCAATAGCAGGTATTAAACGCAAAGTGTTAACAAACTTTTGCACTTTGGATGGCAAATAAAAGGGGCGTTCGGCTCACAATGTGTCATGTTTGGGAATCTAGAGGACGTACCGAGTATTTCATTAACCTGCCTCGACCAGATACGCACATTGGCAGCTGCTGTCTTTGTGAGGAGCGTTAACTAGTTGTTTCCTACCGCCCCCTCCACATCGCCCTCTGACCTTCTGCTTTTGTGGACCAGCTGGTGAATTGTGTCCAGTGTCCATTGGAGCGAGCAGGGATTTTATTATCATTTTTGTGGCACCCCCAACCTGGGAAAGTGTAAACTTTCCACCACCTTGGGTGTTTTGAGGGTCGCATTGTATGTACAACGAGCAGTCTGCCGGCACCTCTGGCTCCCTGGACACCAACAATGGGGATCCCTTTCAATGGGAGTGCAGCGTGCATAAACACAATATGCAACTTAGCAACTTTCCAAATTAAATGCCAATTGCAAAAATGCAATATACACAGAACACAGAATGTGACACAGGAAAACCAAGGCAACCGATGCAATCAAAAAATGCTCTACCACCCACTGCAGCCGGTTACGGTGAAAGCTTTTTTGAATGCCAAGCGTGCGCATGACATAATTCCTTAATTACCAAAGTTGTCAGACGCACTTAAAAGTGAGTTACAATTACAATTTGCCCCTACAATTGTCTGCTGCACACTGCGGATGCAAAATAAACGCCTGGACCCAGCCACCTGGAGAGGCACCAACGTCTGGTTGGCACAGGCATTTGCAAAGGAAAGGGCTAAGAATGCATTACATCTGGTATTTTCGGAATCACCATAGTTCACCTAAACTAAAGGCTCACAAACTGTCAAGGTTGCAAAAACAATTTACAAATTGTTTTGTAATGTTGTCTGGAATATCATAAACTTTTCTCAGTGGGCCCTTAAAATGTATATTTATTTGACTAGCTCACAGTATACATGTTAAATCTAGAGAAATTTGCAACACTAGCGAATAGTCGCTGCTTTAAGTCGGTATCTTCACTTTTCGAACTGTCCAAAGCAATTTAAAAGCCTAATACTAACGCATGAAGTATTTATATTTGCGATTATATGATAATAAAAAACATTGCGATGCATTATGGGGTCATTTAAAACATAAAGTAGGCAATTCTACCGCTTTGTCACGAATTTCGTTGCTTAGAAGTGCAAAATATTCTAATGTTAAACATTTTAACAAAATATATTATAATATGTATAGATTCGATATTATTGTATGATTTAATCGTTGTTACCTTTTTATAATATTATATCTTTTGTATTTTATCTTGGATAGTCTTTTCAGAATTTAATTCCATATTTATTTGGGTTAAATATTATATCCGTTACGAAATAAAATGCAAAGAAAAGTGAAAGCTAGTGTGTTTTTCGGCTATAGATTGTATTTCTTTGACACATTATTAAAATCAAACAATTTTACTGATACCGCGTATCGTTTACACATATTGTAATTTAAGAAATATCATACTTAATTTACCCCTTCACTGCTAAATAAATTGTAGTTACAATAGTACCTAAATTGGCTTGCTTTCATAGGTGGCGAGCAGATCAAACATTCCCTGTCAATTTGGCAAATGATGCAAAGAGCTGTCAGTGGCAGGAATAGGAAGAGGCCCAGGTGAAAGTGGGTGTGGAGGTGCAAGTGGAGGAAAGCTGGCTTTGGCAAGCGAGTGCCCAGTGAAGCGTGTGGAGCTCCCTGCCAGCCACTCTTCACCCACCACCCACTCTCACCCCAACCACCTGCCCACAGCTCAACCTTCAGCTCGGCACTTGTCAAGAATTTTCCTATTTTCAACGGCGCGAGTTGCATTTCCTTTGCCTCACCCAATGCGGTTGATGCTTTTTCAGCTCCCGGTTGTGTTGTCATTTCAATTTCCATCTGCTGACGGAAACTTGAGCGTCGCCCGTGACAACGCAGCCGAAGTTTCGGCATCTCGGCATCGCCCTGGCCACCAATTAGTGCTGGATTCAACCGGGACACACAGCCTAACCTTCGAAAGTGTAACAAAACTCCCATGGGACTTGTCGGGCTGAAGTGGAAAACCAAGCGGCACGTCGGCACGGATTTAATTAAAATGTTTTACACGTGCGTAAATCCCGCACTAATTGTTTCGCATGCCATTCAACTGCATCATTTTGCCGACAATAAACCTGACTGATGGGCCGGCATCATGACCAGGCCTCGCAGGTATCCATGTAAATGTCACAAAACGTTATTAAAACTTCTGACCCGGGACGGGCAGGATATCGCAAGGACATGCTCGGGCAGCCGCAAAAATTTGTCAAATTTAATTTACACCTGTTTAGAAATATGCAAATATCCGCCGCAAGAGGCGGTCTAAGTGGGGTACACCGAGAAAAAAAATGAAAAGATATGATGATGATTTGTCTGTGATTTTATTAAGAAGAGTTTCAAATATTGCTGTCTCTTGATTTGAGGGAAATATCAACGAGAGGAAACGCAAGAATTACTATTCCTTAATATCAAACTTACTTTATTCTTTGGAAAATATGATACTTAATATTAAATTCACAATTACGTGATTTTTTCCTGTGTACAGTGGGTTATATTTAGGGTAAGAATGTGTGAGCCATCATCGGTCAAGGGTCGGGAAAATCCTCGCCAAAGAGGAGACCAGGAAAAAAGCGACCGAACACACGGAGAACAACAATTTAGCTGCACTCATAAACTTCGGCTCCTGGGAAATATAAAGAGGGAAAAGGAAAGGACGAAGGACGAAGGACGAACAGGAGCCAGAGGATGTGTTGTTGGATGATTGCAGCAAATTGCCAACACAGTTGTTGACTTTTTGGCCATGTGCGTGTCCGTGGGTCCGCAGGTCCTCCTGTGTGTTTTTCGACTTTGGCCACTTACCACTGGCATTCAAATTGCCAGTTCTTCGCTCTTGACTCTTTTTGTCCGCCGTTGTCATGGATTGATAGCTATACCAACTTTGATTTATTACCCAGTGATACAGGACTGCCAAACAGGCTGGCACTTGGCCAGAGTCGACGGGGCCAAGTCCCCTTAATAAACTATCAATGTCAACTGCAACTCGGATGGCTCTAATTACAGCAAGGCAGCAAACAGCCAGGCCAACAGCATTATGCAACCCGAAACTAATCAACCAACAGGGATGAAATACCTGTCGGTACTTGTGTCCCTGCACTTGACAACGAAGATTGGCATTTATTGGACAGAGCAACATATTGCGTTTCAGGTTTCGGTTTTAAGGGGGCAACTTATGGTACAACTCCAACTCAGAGCTGGCTGACGTGGCCCAGGAAGTAGGTGCTCTGTGCGTCCTTGATGGCGAAGAAGAAGGGATGATCCGCGGTGAACTCGAATACTTCCTCTCCTATTAAGAGAGACTCCACCTGGGCCTTCAGAACTGTTGATACAAAAATTAGTTTTTAATGCATTTTAGATATATTAGTTAGCAGTCTTACAGGTGGCTCCACTGGCAGTGGTTCCCTTCTCGTTCACCTCGATAACTGCCTTGTGCTTCACCTCTGAGATCCTAAGTGGATGAGATTCTCGGAGCAGGCTGCTGAAGTCCGCATCAGGTGCGAATAGTTTCTTAATGCCCAGCTGAAAGAATACACCAGATAAGTATTAATCCTCTTGTCTATTCTAATACCCGTTACTCAGCTTAAGAGAGGGAGATGGAGATATGCATGCAGGAAATCTGCTGTTTCCTATAACTTTTTATTGAATGGTCCGATTTGAACCATTTTTGGTATGTAGATAATCAAAACAAAATCCCCGAAAAACTGGGCGCTAGACTGGCCTTGGCTCCCTGATGCACAAGAACCTTAAGAATCTGCAGCTTAGTAGCTTTTACTCTACGAGTAACGGGTAAACATGTGTTTGGTATTGAGGTGTGTGTCGACTAATTTTTCTTAAAATTAAAATGTAGTTCCGCCTTAATCTATATCTTGCTTTAGTAGGCCACAACAGATGCCAAGCCAGGAAGAAAATCCTAAGCTCCAGGGTTCAAGAGCATCAAAAAAATATATATTTTATATTCTTCGTGTAT